CAGGAAGGTGAGGGGGGTCAGAGCTGCTCTCACTCAGAGCTGCAGAGCCCACGCTGCCTTCTCCCAGCAGACATCTGGAAACAGAGGCCAAGAAGTCCCTCAGCCTGCCCTAGAGCCAGGGGGGCTTGCTAGAGTTTTCCCTGACAGTCTTACTGCACAAGCCTGTGGGATTTAAAAGCAAACCCTACCAGCTGGAGTAGGGGATTTAAGGAGAGAAGACAGTACCAAAGATTTACAGGTAAAGTGCGTATTTTGGCTTAAACATGTTAATATAGAGGCAAAGCTATATGGAGAGATGGTAGAGAGAGATAAGCAAAGGGTTAAAGGATGATGGAAACATGGAACAAATAAAACTTATCTGGGATGTATCCAATACTCACATTAAATCTACTTACTTTCTGCATGAAGATACCTCCCTGAATGATAGAGGGTATGGAAAGGAGGAGCTCACATCTTCTTTGCTAAATTTATCATTTATGCCTCTTAAATCTGAGCCAGTATAATAGTCAAACACTGCAAACCAAATCCCATTTAATTTATTCAGCAACACATCTGTGTGAAATATAGTCCAATTACAGGCATTAGGTTACTTTGCCATGGCTGCAGCCATTTGGCTTTTATTTCCAGCAGGCTTTAATTAAATTATCACAATGCAGGAGCAGACAAGTTTCCCTTATACGTGACTGCAATTAAAGACATGCAATCACAACATTTTTTAAAGTGACTCCAATCAATTGGTTACAGTAAAGAATACCATGTAATAGGGCAGTGACTCCACTGTTAAGACTGAAAGAGGGTTTCTAGTTCAATAATCTAGTTCCCTTTTATTATGAGTTCTGCTCTTGGATAATTTATTTAAAGTTCATTATGTGTCTACAGCATATATCATTTGCCCTCAGCTTGGGCTGCAGAAGTCCCATTATGGCCAATTACTTAGTGTGATAAAATCTGCCACAGTACAAACTGTTCCTTAATTAGATTTAAGTTTTGTCTAAATTCTATTTGTAATTCAGACAGCAAAATAATAAGGCCAACAGCAAAGACTTGCTGTCTCCTTTCTTTGGTCCCTGTGGCAGCCTGTTAGGCTGGATGTAAACTTAGGGCAGTTCAGAACCTGGACCTCACACCCTTATGCTGTTCTTGCAATACTTGCCCCACTTCACATTTCAGTAACAAGTGCAGGGCTGGGGAGGATGGCCTGGGTAGTGAGGGAGTTCATGGAACTGCAACCAGCCCTATCAGACACCTCTCTGATGGCAAATGGTGTGGCTCCAAAAGCACCTGAGAGGATGCGACTGTCGGTAGGGACTGCAGGAGCCAGTGCAGGTGCCACTGCCACACTGCTTGGCCATCATCAGTACTTGCTGTCCAGCCCCTATAGGTTTGCTGCAGCAGCACCTTGATTGGTAGGAAAAAAAAATACTTACAAGAAAGAATCTTAGAATAGTTTCAGTTGGAAGGGACCTTGAAAGGTCATTTAGTCCAACCCCCCTGCAGTAAGCAGGGACATCTTCAACTAAATCAGGTTGCTCAGAGCCCTGTCCAACCTGATCATCAATGTTTCCAGGGATGGGGCTTCTACCATCTCCCTTGGCAACCTCATTGTAAAATACTTCCTTCTTGTGGCTAGTCTAAATCTACCCTCTTCTTGATTAAAACCATTACCCCTTGCCCTATTGCTACAGGCTCTCCTAAAAAGTATGTCCTCATATTTCTTATAAGGGCTTTAAGTACTGAAAGGCCACAATAAAGTCTCCCCAGAGCCTTCTCTTCTCCAGGATGAACAACCCCAACCCCAGCTTTCCTCAGAGTGTTCAAGCCCTCCTCTGGACCCACTTCAACATGTCCATGTCTCTCCTGTGCTGACGACCCCAGGACACAGTACCCAAGGTGGGGTCTCACTAGTAGAGAGGCAGAATCACCTCCCTTGAAGTGCTGCTCTCACTTCTTTTGATGCAGCCTAGTCTACAAGTGGCTTTTGGGGCTGCAAGAACTCACATTGTCAGCTCATGTCCAGCTTTTCATCCAGCTGTTTATCCACCAGTACTCTCAAGTCCTTCTCCGCAGGGCTGCTCTCAATCCCTTCATACCCCAGCGTGTATTGATACCAGGGGTTGCCCCACCCAGACACAGGACCGTGCATTCGGCCTTGTTGAACCTCATGAGGTTCACATGGGCCATCTTCTCAAGCTTTTCCAGGTTCCCATGGATGCCATCCCTCCCTTAGGCATGTCAACTGCACCATGGTCCTACAAAATCGTGAAGAAGGCGGTGCAGGGAGCCACACCCAGCTGTGCCCTTTAGCTTAGTAGCTGTGCGCTGTAAACACAGCAGTGTGCCAGGCTTTGTTGCCTCCAGCAGCAGACACCACGCTGCAACCTGCTGCTGCAGGATGGGGCCTTTGCTATTCACCTGGTTGTCACCATTAGCCATATCAGTGGCTTCAAGTTTGGTGATGACAGTACTGCTGCATTTCTTCTTAACTAAGTTCAAGCAACTGATACATACAAGCCATCCCCTGAACCATGCCCAGCCATGAGAAGAGGTTTGAGGCTATTTTGCTCTTTAAAAATAAATCCAGTGCTTGGCATGAGTCTACTCAAACTCCAGCTACAGCTTTCAAAGTGTTTTAAAAATGTTTGGACCAAATGTTCTACACAAATTTGAATTGAAATCCTGCAACCTGTCTCTGTGAGATCCCACAAGTGAGTGAGGGTAGAAACTACATAAAGAAAATTCAAGAGTGGCACAAGAAATTGAAGTGGTGAATCAGTAGGACCCACTTTAACAGACCCAGACCACAGTAAGTTAGGACAGGCATCATCCTGTAAGAAACTGCATTCCTCCAAAAAACTTATTCTAGAGAGTTATTCAATTTTTCCCATCAGAACTCCACTTAAAAAGAAAGCATTCACAGAAATGCACTTACTGGATTCAATGTTAGCAGTTACTTGCCATGTATTTCTTGTGGCCCTGTATTTTCTGTTTAGGGTCTATGTACTAGGATATTTTTACTTCCCTTGAATTCTGCTTCTGGTGGGTTGACCCTGGCTGGAGGCCAGGTGTCCACCAAAGCCACTCTGTCTCTCAGCTCCTCAGCTGGACCAGAGAGACAAAATACAACAAAAATCTCATAGGTTAAGATAAGAACAGGGAGAGATCACTCACCAGTTACAGTCACAGGCAAAACAGACTTGACTTGGGGAAATTTATTTATTACCAATCAAATTAGAGTAGGGCAATAAGAAATAGCAACTAAATAATAAAATACTTTCCCCCCACCTCTCCCTTCTCCCTAGGCTCAACTTCACTTCCAATTTCTCTGCCTCCTCCCCCCAGCAGCACAGGGAATGGAGGTTGTGGTCAGTTCATCACACCCTGTCTCTGCTGCTCCTTCCTCCTCAGGGAGAGGACTCCTCACACTCTTCCCTGGCACCAGTGTGGGGTCCCTCCCACGGGAGAGTCCTCCACAAACTTTTCCAACATGAGTCCTTCCCACAGGTTGCAGTTCCTCACAAACTGCTCCAGCATGGGATCACTCCCATGGGTGATCATGGGAGACAGTTCCCCCCAAAATTTCTCCAGTGTGAGTCCTGCCTGTGGGCTGCAGTTCCTCACCATCACCGCCAGCATGGGGTGCAGTCCTTCAGGAACAGACTGCTCCAGCATGGGTCCCCTATAAAGTCATAAGTCCTACCAGCAAACCTCCTCCAGTGGGCTCTTCTCTCCATGGAGCCACAGGTCCTGCCAAGAGCCTACTCTAGCATGGGCCTTCCATGCCTCCTTTGGTTATCCACCTGCTCCAGCATGGGGTTCTCCACAGGCTGCAGGTGGTATCTGCTCCACTAGGACCTCAATGGGCTGCAGGGGGACAGCCTGTCTCACCATGGTCTTCACCACGGGCTGCAGGGGAACCTCTGCTCTGCCACCTGCAGCACCTCCACCCACTCCTGCTTCACTGACCTGAGTGTCTGCAGAGCTGTTGCTCTCACATATTCTCACTCCTCTCCCCTGGCTGCTGCTGTGCAAGCTATTTTTACCCTTCTTAACAGAGGCGCTACCACCATTCCTGGTTGGCTCAGCCTTGGCCAGCAGGGGGTCCATCTTGGAGCCGGTTGGCACTGGTTTTAACAGACATGAAGGAAGCTTCTAGCAGCTTCTCACAGAAGCCACCCCTGCAGCCCTCCTGCTACAAAAGCTGGCCACACAAACCAAATACACTGCTCAAGTCCTATACTGTGTCTTGCAAATGGCTGCTTTGCAAGCTGGATGAATTTATTTTGACGTTTCAGAAAAATTCTAGTTGAGACTAATGTCTAAGCAAAACACTCATTTAAAATTTTTACAGGGATAGAAATTTACATAGCAACTAATGAGAAGCCTAAAAATAATCCATTTCCTTGCTACATCAATCTTGTTAATGAACAAAAATAACAAAATATTCCTCTATCAGTTGTTTCCAAGGAGCAGGGAGAAAAAATGTTAACCAACTCCAGTATCAAAAAGAATATTAAAACATGTCAAAATCTGCTCTAGTTTCCATTTAATGAGCAAGATTGCAAACAGCATTTATGGAGCAGTTCTGTTCTGGACATTCCTCTCCATACTTTTGGTCAGTAACACAGCATGACTAGTCTGTCCTTCTGCTCCACTTGACCCCTGATGAGAGAAGAAGATGAACTTCATATAGCAGGGGACACACATCACACTTAATGGTGTTTGGAATCTCTTATATTACACCTTCATTGTGCCTGTGCAGACCCTTCCCTGAGAATATTTTAAGAATAAATTTGTGTGTATTTCTGTATAGATATGATAAAAGGCTTCTCACCTAAGCACCAAGGCCTCTCCTTATTCAATACAGGCAACCTAATAGTGGCACTGATGGGAAGCTGAAGGGAAAGATGCAGTTATTACTTGTTTTTAACAGGCTACAGGAAGGTCTTACCTGTCAGTGAACACCAAATATTTCTCTCCTCCTTAAGCACTAAGAAAAGAACATGAACACAACAAGTGATGACGTAGCCAACCCCACCACCTGGCAAGACACTGAAGGTGTTTTTCCCAACTGCACTGTTGTGGAAGTTGGTCCGAAGAATTTTTTACCTCCCCGCTACGTATGGCATCATCTTCTCGGTGGACTTCCCAGGAAATGTCATTGTGATTTGTGTTTATAGCTTCAAGATGAGGCCTTGGAAGAGCAGCACCATCATCATGCTGAACCTGGTGCTCACGGACCTGCTCTACCTCACCAGCCTTCCCTCCCTGACACACTACTATGCTAATGGGGAGCACTGGATCTTTGATGAATTCATGTGCATGTTCATCTGCTTTGGCTTCCATTTCAACCTGTACAACAGCATCCTCTTCCTCACTTGCTTCAGCGCCTTCTGCTACATGGTGATTGTCCACCCTATGAAGTTCTTCTACCTCCAGAGGAAGCTGTGGACAGTGGTGGCTTGCACAGCCATTTGGATTCTCTCACTGGCAGCTAACAGCCCTGTCAACTTCTTGATCTCCACCACAGAAGTGCAAAACAGATCCCTATGCCTCAACCTGACCAGCTCTGAAGACCTGAGAACAACTGGGTGGTACAACTGGCTGCTGACTGGCCTGGCCTTCCTCTTGCCCTTGCTGGTGGTGACTCTGTGCCATGCACTCATTATTTGCACCTTGGCTACCAGCCCCACACAGGGGCTTGCTACAAACAAAAGGCTTGCAGACTTGCCATCGTTCTCTTGGTGGTCTTCTATGTGTGCTTCCTCCCTGTCCGTGTGTTTCTGCTGGCTCAGGTTGAACCATGGTTGTGTCCCATCAGCTGCTCCTTGGAGAACCAAATCCATTCCATCTGTATCATCTCTCAGCCATTGGCTGCACTCAACATATGTGGCAATCTATTACTTCATGTCATGATTGGAGGTAACTTCCAGCAGGCCATCCTGTGTCTTTCAAGGTGTAAGTGAAGGAAATAGGTCCAGAAGCCCAGGAGCAAAAATTGTGTGACCAAGTCACAAAGCCAATTAAAGTAATGAAGAAATCCCAGCAAACCAAGGATGGCTTTGGGGCTGTAAGCTCCTGTAAAGGCAGGTGTGTGGTTACAGTGGCATGAATTGCAGCTGGCTTCTCCCTCTCCCTGCAGTAGAGCACTTGTCAAAGAGCTGTCTTGGGAAGAGGTTTATATATACCTCTCTTAGCAACCAAAGAACAGGGAGTCAAAAGACTGTAAGCCACCTCAAAGGTGGAGTTTAAAGCCACCCGACCAGACTGTTTCCAAAGATATTTGGGAAACACAGGGTTATTTTGCTTCAGGCTTTGTGGTTGATTACAGAAATAGGGAGAACTTAGTTTGGACATGAGAAGAACTTCTATTGATTTCAGTGTTGTCACTGATGTAGTGCTTTGTTTATTACTGCAGCAGATATTGTCACGGTTGCTGAAACCACTGAATTACTGAATTACTTATTTAGAAAGCATCTAGATAAACCAGATCCTCTCAAATGAGATGGACCTGATGAAGTTTATCATAGGGCACTGAGGAACTGAATGCTGAAATCTCAGAGCTGGCCTAGGGAAGGATGAGAGGAGTACCAGAGGAGGACATACAAAGTACATACAAGTACATATCCAGATAGATAAATAGATAGATAGATAGATGGACAGGTGGACAGACAGACAGACAGACATAAAAGGAGACAGATTATATATATAATGATATGTATGGACAATGTTGAGGAACCAGGAAGCAACAGTCATGTTAAAGTCCATCTCAGAAAAATACTGAAACAATCAGATTATAAGTCTAGAGAAGACGAATACAGGTGAGTACCAGCCAATGTGGATCTGTCAGCTATGTGCAACCCCAGATCATTCTGATTTTGTACAACACAAATTAACAGGTTCATACATGAAGGAAAAGAAGACGTTATATATCTTAACTCCAGAGGATTTTTGACACTGTCTGATGTGACATGTGTAAGCTAAGGAAACAGTCTGGAGGAAACTATTAGTGATTTACTATTAGAGTAGGGGGAGATGCTGAACAGGGATTTGAGCAGACTGCCCTCAATTTAGGGGTATTTAGTGTTTTCATTAACAAACTGGATGATGAAATAAAGTCTGGTTATTGTATTTGCAGATTACATGAAGCTGAGAGGACAATATTACGTTGATAAATTGCAACTATGGTCAGAGAACGCACAGGATGCTATTAGACAGTGAGAGGTGCAAAGTACTATGTTTAAACAGAAATAATGAACCATAAAAATGCAAAATGAAAAAAATATTTAGCTAGCAGTTTGGCAGAGAAAGATCTGTGGTCACTGTGGATCACAGGCTGGACAGGAGCCAAGAGTTTAAGTGGGTTGACAAGTGTCTGCTGTGGTAAAAAAAAAAAAGGCAGGTGCCATGCTGGGATGTATAAATAAGACTATAACATGTGAGGTGTCTGAAGCAGCCCTTACACCCTTTGCAGCCAGTAGGACCACTGTGTTCAGCCTTGGAAGCTGCCCTTCAGGGAAGGAACAGGATGAAAGCAGCATGGTAAGAGCACTCAGAGAAACAACCAAAGAGGAAGGAACTGAACAGAAAACTAAATGGTCTTTAAACCCTTCAAGAGTGGATATTAGAAAGGATCTTCTCTCAGGATGGGTGGTGAAGCACTGGAAATGACAGGAGGTGTTGCCACTGCCATGTGTCCCTAGGAGCAGGCTAGCCAGGTGCTGTGCAAGAGAGGCACAAGCCTGCCAGACCTCTGAAGGTCCCTTTTGCCCACAAGGTAATGAGGCACACATTGCCAGCAACACTGGTGCTAGTAAAACAAGTGGTGCTTGGGAACATCCTCGGCACCAGAGCTCATCCACCCCACCACTAGTGTAGGAGCCTCAGGCTGGTGGCCAGCCAGCAGCAGCCAGCAAGCTGCCAGCAAAGCCTGGGCAGCCTCCAGGGTCAGCACTGTGCCCCAAGGGCACACAGGCAGCCATGCACAGGTGCCACACCTACACAGGACAATGACACTGCAGTGTTTTGATATGCCTTGTGGGTATTTAAAATACTTTATTTGGTAGAGGCTTGGCCATCAGGTACATCAATTCAAAGCAGTGCCATGGGCTTTTTGACCTATTTTCTGTTTTAGATTGTCCTCTTCTCTGTTGTTGTCAATCTGCATTTTGCATGTTGCCACTAGATGGTGATCACTCATGGTCAAGCTACTTGATTTCACATAAGCATATTTGATTCAAACCCACAAGCTACACAAATACACAAGACAATTCACATGAAATAAATATTTTCTGACCTAGATGCGTAACATCCCAGCTCTCCAACATGGGCAAAATGTACAAATGCACTGCACAAATTACTCTCCTCATCCACATAAGTGAAAGCAGAAGATCTGGCTACCACTTACGTATACACATCTGAAGGAGTGGATTAAAACTTATCTTTTTTCCTCTATCAGAACATTTTTAATTCTTGTTCTCAGAAGCTCTTCCTTCGCAAGCCAGAGCCAAGCTTATCATACACAAACAGAAGCTCTACAATACAACTACAGAAACAATTGAAAATGGAGCAGCTAAAAGTAAAAACTGAAATGCAACTTTTCAAGCCTTTCCATCTCTGACAGCAACAAGGGTGACAGTCCCACAGTTGCAGTGACCTGGAGAGGGGCTATCTTTTTGCCTTCTCCTTCCCTCTTTCCTTAATGCAGCTGTTGTTTGGTTGTCTGCTTCCTACCTGACTTGGTCGTCCACCACCTCTCTTCATTCAGTTTAGGCTAAACTAGCTGATTTTAAAGTGTCAAAAAGTAGATCAGGGAATGCTTTTTTTTTTTTTCACTGGTGGGACAAGAGCCTCCAAGAGAAGTGAAGCAATGTCAAAAGGGAGAAAAACTCAACTGTAATGCAGGCATTTTAAAGCATTCAAGGACTGCTCAGGTGTTCTTTGGGGCTGAGAGATCATTATCTCATCTGACTCATTCCTTTTGCTTACTGTGAAAGATGACATCTCAACAGCTTCTATTTTTAGCAGCTGCTAAGTTTACTGCTGAAACAAGGGTAAGTGCTTCAACTGCAGTAAACAGGAGACACTTTCCAAGCTCTGTATAAAGTGTGACAACACAGCTACATAAATTACCACACTATTGCAGGATAATTCATGGCATAGTTATGCTCCAATAAGCAGGCTTCTATCCAAAGTCTCTGGTATGCTTGTCTGCAAAGACAGTCACACCACCTCAAGTACCTACCAGCAAGCTGTGCTCTGCCTGGGAACACACAGGGACCAAGAGAACAACTTTGCAAGGTAAATCTCTCAGGGGGATGTCAACTCTGATGATACTAAAAATGAAATTTTGGAATTGCTGACTGCTTTTGTAGACATGTCAAACCTTATTCTTCACAGTGACTCTCATAGTGTCACAGGTTGCAGCAGAGCTATTTTCTACCCTTAATTGTCAGGGAAGACAATTTTTTTTTCCCCTAATCATATCCTCCCATAAGACATGAAAGCAAAAAGGTGTCCTGGTACTCAAACCTTCCAGAGAGCAAAAATACTGACTATCATGTTCTGCATAAAAAAGCATTTTTGAAAGATCTGCCCTAATCCAGCTGCACCCATCAGCCTTTCAAGAAATTTTGTGTAATACTGACCACTTAAGAAGAGAGTGTAAAGCAGACTGCATGTGGCATCAAAATTACTATCTTGGTAAATAGCTAGTAGAGAGAAAGGCTAAAATAGCTTGAGAGTGATCTGCTCTTCCAAGGTCTGTGTTGGCTATTGATGTCAAGGCTACAATTTTATCCCAATGTACTGGTATGCACATCTGGGGTGCTGCTGCACAGGGTAACTGTGATGCACCACATGAAGTGGAGGGTAGTGCCAGGCTCACCTGAGTTATCTGAGTCATTTAGACCTCAGATAACTGTTGTCCTTTCGCTGACAAGGCTAAACAAGCAGAATAAACTTTGAGTGACTTTCCATCTGTCAATATTTTTCTACTCTGAAAATGAAGGTTGAGTGAGCCTAAACTTTGACAAGCAAACAACAAATGAGCACATCACTATTCGGCTCCTACCAGCCCCAAACTGTTTTTGCCTTTCCCTGCCAGCAGAAAAGGAGAAGAGGTGTAAAGGAAAATACTTTTGTATGTTCCCTTAAAGCTCCCTTATGTTTTTTGACAGCAGAGGCATTCAACAATGCCAGCTGATGCCACTTCAATGTAAAGGCCCAACAACCAAGACTAAGAGGGGAATAAAAATGTTTATCCTAAAGAAAGTGTATTTCAATGCCTGTTTTCTGAATAGCTACTGGGAAAGAGCAGTACTTTTGACTAAGGTATCTTGCTGACTCCGAGTCCTGAGCCTACTGAGTGCTGCAGCAGAGGGCAAAGTGAGTAAGATGGCTTCAAAAGCAGGAGATAAAACACATTCCAGCTTTTAGTGATAGCTGGACTCTGGGGCCAAGAAGGGGAAAAAGTAAAGTTTGTAAACACTGGGATAAGTGTCTTTCTAAAGTAAAAAATAAACTCAAATGCCAGTTTTTTAAAACACAAAAGAGGGAAGATGATTTTTTGAGGCAGCTGCAGGCAAGTATAATGCAGAGTATGTTCAATTCATCATTGCTAGAACCTTAAAATACTTTTCTGGTCTTAGTTACAGATCCGTTAAGCTGGGGAAAAGCGAGGTGACTTGGCACAAAGCAGTGAAGCATTATGGGTGGATTTATTTGTAGCCCCAAACGATCCTAAAGGGGCAATTTTCCACTGAGTGAGCCAGGTTGGCCCGATCGCTTACGGCCTCAGCAATAATGAAGATGACCAGGCAGACAGGCACACAAATGCCCTGTACAACAATTGCAAGCAATGAATCTCTTTTTTTAAAAATTCCCTTTTCCTTTCATTTCATGATGCTTTTTTGTCAACGGGAAGTTATCTTAACAGACAAGGCAGCAGCACCTGCCTACAGGAGTT